CATGTTGTTTGCATAAACAATACACAGTATGGCACGCGTGATTTTGTTTGTAGTAAACTAAATTGTCGCTGCCTGCAGTGTTCCCAGATGTCAGTCATATTTTTAAAAGCTATAAGTTTAGAGACAGTTGCATTGTGTTATGAGAAATAGTAACTGGGCTTATGATCTAATTAGTGCCCTGCAAATGTGCAGACTACGCATGTACAATGTAAATGTAAATGGTTGAATTTCTCTCAAATGTGAAACCGGTCGGATTGTAGCAAGAGATAAGATGGTTTTCCGTTTCTCTAGCTCCCTACTCTCTTCCTTTTTCTCTCCGTATTGACTAACTCATGCATATTTTGTTATCTACCCTCCACTCCATCGACCCATGCCGGGGTAAATTTAGTACAGTGTGTGTATCGGCGAGTTTGGGAGAGTGTATTTGTATAGACACTACCTGTATTCTGTCGGATGGCAAAGGATTATGGGTTTTTACATCATAGTCTTCAGCTTGAAATTAGAACAGAAAGCCGGGTATATAGCAAACACACACGCATCTGTGGTCATTAAAATCTCAAGTGGAACAGTTAGAACATTCACTGTGTTTCAAAAGAACAGGACGACAATTGTAATCTTAGACAGACGAGGTTTTACATTGGCTGTGTCTGAAACCAAACACATCTGCCTAATCTGTGATGTTTTTTATGAAGGTTCCTTGTTCGAAAATTGACTTCCAAAGATAGAAGTGAGCTTTACTCAAGCAAATATTTAGAACTGCTTACTTATTTCTGCTTATTTTAGGTCATGTGCACACAAAGGTCTTAAAGTTCTGCCTTCATTATTATACATCATGATCTCTCTTTTAGGATAGATGGTAATTCTGTTATGGCAGCTTTCTCTCGGGCTCTGCTCTCGCTCTTCAAACTCTTAAGCTATTTCAGGTCCTCATAAGGTTAAGAGGATTTTCTCTGCAGGCGCTGAATCAATCTCTTCATTTCCCCAGACGATCTTGTGTTGGCAGTAATGGGGATTCAACAGGCACCGGTTGGAAGCAGGATTTGCACCCAGCTCTGGGGTGGCCCGCACAGGGTGAGCGCCCCCTGGTGGCAGTGGCTGCTATGAAATGGACCTTTTTTTGTGCTAATGTAGATGGAGAAAACAAACTCAATTATTTTGTTTTCAGAATGAACTTGGCATTAGTATTATTTATTTATATTGTCTCTTACTTTGTATTTGATAGTTTTAGCCTGGGCTTGCTAACTTCATTTGGTTTGCCTTATTAGGACCTTATGTTCTGCTGATCATGTTCATGTGCCATTTATGCCTTTCCTACTTAAATACTGTTTACTCTATGATGTATTGAACATGGCTCATAATCTAGAAATTGTGATTGACTTTTGATATTTCATTTGGAAAGGGGTTGAGTATTATAAACAAATCAAGTAATGTTGTTAATGGTATTACTTAATTTTCCAGAGTTGTGTTTATTAATTTATAGCTGTCATAGAGGGACATTATAGTCATAATTTAAATAGCGCATTTATAGTGTATATATATATATATCATAATTCCGTTATAATTGCTAATTAAAAACCTAATAGTCTAATATGAATGTTTAATGAAATTTAATTATTTGTTATACTATTTTTTATTAAAGCAATCTTAACGTTAAATAGTCTAAATATTAGAATATAAATATTAAATAAATAAATATTAAATTGAATGTAAAAAAATCTAATTTTAATCAAGATTTGTAGTGTGGTGTATTGTGATCATTGAAAATATCAACTGGGTCAGCAGAAAAATCCTTAAGCGAATCATATTGTGCACATTTTAGTGTATGTTATTCTGAACAAAAATGTTTTTAGAATTTTTCCTCAAAATATGATAACTTTCTTTACTTCCTTTGGTCTGATAATTTAAAAAAGTTCATATGGGCAGGGAAATATCATTTTTAACAGTAATGTACCCCATTAAATAATGAGAAATTCTTCTTCCAAAACGTGTTTTTGTCTTACCCTGATTCACTATGGTAAGCCTATTACAAGGGTTTAAATTTTAGACCTGACGGGATAGTTTTCACAGGAAATTGCATACATATGTCACCCGCCAATGTGTGTCTCATCATATCCGTAAATAAAGAAAAGTTGCTCTGGCTACTTCGTGTGTGGTGTGTGAGTGGCATAGGTTAGTTGTCACAGCTCGTAATAAAACGAGAATCAACATTGGCTTGGCTTTTCGGATATGTAGCACTGTGCTGCAATTTATTTTCAAGGAAGTACCGTGTCTATTAAAGGGTTAGTTCACCCAAAAATGGAAATTCTGTCAGTAATTACTCACCTTCATGTTGTTCCAACCCTGTAAGACTTTCGTTCATCTTTGGAACACAAATTAAGATATTTCTGATGAAATCTGAGAGCTGGCTCACTCCTCCATAGGCTGCAAGGTAATTGCATCTGCCGGCCCAGAAAAAATAGTAAAGATAGGATCCCTGCGTTAAAATAGTCAGAGTGACTACAGTGGCTCAACCTTAAGTTTACCAAGCGACGAGAATACTTTTTGTGCGCAAAAAAACACACAAAAAAACCTGACTTTATTCAACTAACTCTCCTCTCTTCCCTGCCACTCTCTTACGCTATTCACTTTGTTGGGCTATTCACAAAGTACAGCTCTTCCGTTTTTTACTGCAGAGTTTTCATTTTTGAGTGAACTAACCCTTTGATAGGTGTAGCTACAGTAAGTCTTCAGCTAGTCAGCTTGAGATCTTTTCCATCTAAACTGTTTATATCTTTGCCAAAGCACAACCTAAACAATGTTCTTCCGCAAAATGCATGCAGTTTTGTTTTTTAATCGCTAGAGGGCCAAAAGTTATAGGGTGCGTCACAATCAGCTCCCTAGCTTCCTATAGGTCATGTATCAGTATATCATGTATACGAATTCAGGCACTGTAAGAACCCTGGCTTACCACACACATTGGGACACTCTATTTCCTGTGACATAACAACATCTTTGTTGTACAACATCACTACTGGTATTTATGAACAACAGCAGAACTGATATCTTTCTGACATTCTTTTTTTAATGCTATTTAAAGTGATAAATACTCTGCTTGTTACATGTACATGCAACATTTCAGCCGTAAATAAATGATAAATGTTAGTTAGATTGTTCATTTCCTGTCTAGCGTTGTATGTTTATGCTGAAGTATAATTAAATAATGGTTTGTATTTATATAAAAAACATTGCGAGTCATTATATGTAGTGAGTTGGCTCAAGTGATTTATGTTTCATACTTCAGAACTTCCGTTAAGGGAACATAGTGAGCACCGATGCTCCCTGGTTTTCACAGTGCATTGTGGGACTTTTTAGGGAGCGAACGTTTCAGTGTACTGGTAAGATTTTGCGATTGAGACAGCCCTTAAAATGGCCGACTCCCTGATCAGTGCCCTGACTATGGAACTAGGGAGCTAAATGACACGTACCCATAGATGCACCCCACTTTTTCCAATCAACTCCAGTCTCACCTTTCATTATTCACTGCTGAAAATTCTTTTTTTGTTTTCTTGCATGACATCTTATTATTTTTTAGATTATTCATTAAGCTTCCTGTTTGTTAAAGTGCACAGTAAACGGTCTTATTGCTGTCTGTCACCTCACAGACAGACCACAGTAGACGTAACTTCCTTTAATCTGTAATTGGTCAGCTCTGCTGTCAGTCCCAGTGGAGGGCGAGTCCTCGTGCAGGTATTCCGTTCAGGTGTGTGTGAGTCTCAGACCAGGGTTGTGGCAGGAGGCAGAGAGGTCACTGTTTTGACCAGGTTTGAGGTTTTGGGGGGCTAAAGGAGTCATCAAAGGACAGAGGTCATGATGAGGAGGTACAGACAGGTGCCGCGCTCGGAAGCTGACGGAACCTTCCGATTTAGACACACCTGGGAGAGGAGATCTATCCTCAGCAGACTTGGTATCTATGTGTGTGTTTGTTTGTGTGAGATCCTGATGATTAATACAAGGGTGTTGCACACGCTTTGGTAATAAGAATGTTGATGCATTTGTCACTTTGCAGTAGAGCTCGCAAGCCCGCTCTCTTTCGCTTTCCCTTTCCCCCCCCTCGCAGCATCTCTCGCTTTTTCCGTCTTTCAGAAGTTGGATCAGGTGTTTGAGCTGATAATGGCGGCTCCTTTTCCACATCTCACTTTACAATCCCTGCACACACACACACACTTGCGCACACAAACATGTTCTGTTGGTATATACACATGCATGCACATGCAATTCAGATTTATTATCCATGTTGAACTGGATGAATGAGCAATTTCAGCTCTAGCTGGTGAAGGACTGTCAGAGCAGCTTGTGTGTGTTGAATATGAGAAGTGTGTGTGTGTACTAGTTGCTTTGCTGCTCTCGGATTTCTTCTTTGACTTTTTTTAATAATTCATTATCCCTTCAAACTGTGTGGCATCACACACACACACTGCAGTTTGCATTGTTCCTTTCACCAGTGCACATACACATTTCATCCTGACAGCTCATTTTAATATCATGTGTATGTAGATTCTTATTGGCTCGAGCGGGTGAAGTTTGAATGTATGGTGTAGGACTGCTTATGTTGCATATCTGTCCTAGCTCATTAGGGCCATTCAGAAACTGCCAGACACAGCGCAGCGGAATGGAACCAAGAGATAGTGTTATAAGGCACGATTGTAATGCTGAACTTCTTTGAACTTAACAAACCATCTTAAAACGTGGTGCTATGGCATGAAAAACTTGCCAGATGCAATCATGCAACACAACATAGACATCAGTCTAGCACATATTAAAATAGAAAAACATTTAGAATACAGTGCAGATGGATGCAAGAACGCCACCCTGGATCTATTTCATTCAATGCACAAACTCACTAGAATCATTTGTGCTTCTGCAGTTTGAACAGAAAACATACAAAGTTGATTTTAAAAAGTCAATATTGTGTTTCTATTATATGCGTAACACTTACTTTTTTTCTTTTCTTTTTTTTACAGGTGTGTGTGGATGTTGCGGTCCTTTGCGACCACGCTACAAGCGACTAGTGGACAATATTTTTCCAGAGGACCCCAAGGTAACATATCACTGGAATAGATGGAAATTGAATTCTGGGATATTGGAATAAATTGAATATAGGCTACCAGGTTGCCAGCTTGTCTGCTAGGCCTCCATTTTAAGTGCATTACTGTACACATAGGCTATTTTTAGTTTGTCAGACATCCTGATTCTGAAACGTCTTGAATTTGTTACATTTTCTTAAACACAATTTGTGTAAGATTTATAATATAAAAATTATAACATATTGCTTGTAATATACATATGTGTATGTAGACAGCATTATATATGTGTATATATATATATATATATATATATATATGTATATGTGTGTTTATGTTTATGTGTGTAATGAGGAAAATGAGACACACACAAAATTGAAATAAATTACAATTATTTAATAAGTTTTTTAATTATAGTTTTTGAAAATAAAAATATAAAATGAGTGTCTAAATTCACACAAATATTTTAAAATTAAAATTTAAATAATATTAGAATTTTTAACTGATTTTGTAACTGATAGAATGGTTAATTGGCTAAGCAATTTTAGCTGTTAATCTCAAAATGGACAAAATATTAGCCTGATCAGTGTTTCACTCTATCATCTGTAGTTGAATAGCTGAGATTAAAGTCCCTCTGCAGTCAATAATTTTATCCCTTAAAACCCATCTTTGGTAATGAAAATGGACCTATTTAAACGTTTTTTTTTTTTTTTTTTCTGTGAAAATAATTTCCTCATGCCTTAAAATAGCTTAAATTTAACTCTACACCCTTGCATCATTTAGTATACGTGGTTTCATGAATATGCAAATTAGCTCCGCCTCCACTCAATGTAGTAAACGCTACGCAGTGGCAAGTGGAAATATTGGTTTCATTCAACCATATATGTTTGAACCAGAAACTGAATCAGAAAAAGTGGAAGAGTGAATTATACAGGCTCGTCTACAAGTCCATGTCTCAAAATGGCAATGCGTTTTATGTATCGCTCTCTACAGTATCGGACACATAACGGTAATTGACATGATTAGCCTTTGGCTTGACTACATTATCAAACAGCTAATAATGTGTTGCTGATGTTAAACACAAACCATGTTCCCGTTTGCCATCTCGATGTCAGACAGCTGCCTTCTAAAAATCAGCATCCTTAGAAACGCTTTGAAAAACGTAGAAAGTCATTAGAGAAAAGCTTGCCACGCAAGTTGACGGGATTGGCTACATGTTTGTGACTGTAGGAAACAGTTGGTTTCTCAGAAAATACTCAGAAATGCTGTTGACTTATGAACTTATGAATGGGTTGTCTTAAGGTACAGTTCACCCAAAAATGAAAATTATCCCATGATTTACTCACCCTCAAGCCATCCTAGGTGTATTTGACTTTCTTCTTTCAGACGAACACAATCGGAGATATATTTAAAAAATATCCTCTTTTATAATGGTAGTGAATGGGGGGCGAGATTTTGAAGCCCTGAAAAATGCATCCATCCATCATAAAAGTAACCCATACAACTCCAGGGGGTTAATAAAGGGCTTCTGAAGCGAAGCGATGCATTTGTGTAAGAAAAATATCCATATCCTCCAACATGTCTCTTTAAAATTTCTCGTTTTAGACTTTGTGACCGGTTTTTTGTTTAGCTCTATTCTCTGCACTTCCTCATTCATCAATACATCATGCGTCAGGTCAGAGGTGACTCTTTCGCCGTAAATCGATGCGTACGGGCATGTGTCGGAAGCTATTTTAGTTTAGTTTTAAATATGGATTTTTTTTTCTTACAAAAACCCATCGCTTCGCTTCAGTAGGCCTTTATTAACCCCATGGAGTGGTATGGATTACTTTTTATAATGGATGGATGCATTTTTTGGGTTTCAAAATCTCTGCCCCCATTCACTACCTTTATAAAGCTTGGAAGTATTTTTATATTTTAAAATGTATCTCCGATTGTGTTCGTCTGAAAGAAGAAAGTCATATACACCTAGGATGGCTTGAGGGTGAGTAAATCATATGATAATTTAAATTTTTGGGTGAACTATCTCTTTTAAAGCATATTAAAAACACCACATAGACATATATACAACATTTAAAAACTTGATTTTCACCACAGGAGGTCTTGCTCATTTACATAATAAACTCAGGTTTTTGACAGAGACTTTAAATAAAATCTTTAAATACCATAGTTATATCAGAGTTGATGCACTGCGCTTCAGATGCATTCAAGTTCAAGTGCTGTGATCAAAATATATTCTCATTGGCTCTTCCCGTCCTCAGAGACTCGGTAAAGTAAATGCCACGGCATAATAAGAAAGAAGCTGCTTGGACTATCAATCTAAATTTAAAGCGCAGTTGACTGGCAGCTGTTGCTTGTTATTCATATTGTTGGAGAGAAATGTTATGGCACTGTCATTATGAATATGTATTAATGCTTTAATTTTGACCTTTGACCTTCTCAACAGTTTGATATACAACAACATACACACTGGGAAGCTTTTTAACCTTGCTGTTACTCCATATTCATCATTTACATTCAGCTCTGTTGATTAGAGTGAGACACACACACACACCCACACAATTGTTTTCTCTGAAGTGTGAGTAATTTTCTCATGAGAGGGTGTGACTGTTTCCACTGACACACACACAGATTCCCCACAGTTATGTTATGTACCATATGTTAAAATCGTGTTAAGTTAATTAGCACTTTGAGAGCTTCAGGAGTTTATTTCTCCAAATGGATTTTGGGTAGAAGTGAGTTTCTACTTCTGACGCCTTTTATTAGACTGTAAACACTTTTTCCAAAAAATATTCACTTCAAATATTCTGCACAGTCAGTTTACGTAGACATCGCTAGGCACCATTATAGACCAGGGGTGCGTTTCCTAAAATACTTAGCTAACTATGGTCGCAAGTTCCATTGTTACCAACACAGTAGTTCAACGATTCGATGTTTCCCAAAACCATAGTTTAAACTTGCATTCGTAAACAGCATCACAGATTAACTAACGTGGTTACCTGGTCATTTCATTTATATATATATATATATACACGTTTCAATATATATATTTTAGTGTGTCAACAATTAGCAATGTTTTTGAAGAGTGCAAACAGTTTGGCTTTGATTTTATTCGTAAAATTCCAGTCAAGGTTTAGATGTTGTTTTTTTTGTTTTTTTTTAACAAATGTTCATTGTTCTTTGTTTTGTTCCCCAGGATGGACTGGTGAAATCTGACATGGAGAAGTTGACGTTTTATGCGGTGTCGGCACCAGAGAAGCTGGACCGCATTGGAGCATACCTGGCTGAACGTCTTAGCAGAGATGTGGTACGACATCGCTATGGGTAAGACGCACACAAATACACACACAGTTATTTCCCACACCGCTTTTGTGGAGTAATATATATAACGTACCTTACTCTCACGCCCAGATGCGTTCTCGGGTACCGAAATTTGGCACCGATTGATTTAATGTGAATCTGTGCTTGGTAGTACCAACGTAATTCGGTCAGTGCCCTCAAAATAACCGAGTTTGGTACCCAACCCTACCTAACTAAAATCATATTAAAATAATTCTTTTAAGAACTGTTCATTGAAAGGTTCTTTGGGGAGCCCAAAAAATGTTTTTTCTTTGGACGCACTGCAAAAACCCCTTTTTGAAACCTTTATTTTTAAGAGTGTATATGCTTTGAATATCACATCAAAGATGTTCAGACTATCATTCTTAAAATTGTATTGTTTATTTTATTTCTTACAATTGAATTATTTATACTATTTTTGTTCTTACACTTTAATTTTGACTTATATTTGGAGCTTGGCAAGTGTTCATTTTGGACCCTGTTTCTTCTCTCTCTCTCTCTCTCTCTCTCTCTCTCTCTCTCTCTCTCTCTCTCTCTCTCTCTCTCTCTCTCTCTCTCTCTCTCTCTCTCTCTCTCTCTCTCTCTCTCTCTCTCTCTCTCTCTCTCTCTCTCTCTCTGTGTGTGTGTGTACGCACAGGTACGTGGTGATAGCGATGGAGGCTTTGGATCAGTTGTTGATGGCCTGTCATTCCCAGAGTATCAAGCCATTTGTGGAGAGCTTCTTACACATGGTAGCCAAACTGCTGGAATCCAGAGAACCAGATTTACAAGTGCTGGGCACCAACTCGGTAAGTTTGTGTGTGTGACTGAAGGAGCCTGAGTGATCTCAGCAGGAGACGTGAGAGATTCAGGTGGAAGATGAGAAATGGCTTTGACTGTTATTTTGCCATTTGTTATGGTGCTTTTTTCTTTTTTCTCACTCTTTCAGTCTCTTGCTCTCCCTCTCGCTCTCTCTGCTCACTCAATTTTCTGCTGTATTATTCCTCATCTGGGTTTCTCATATCTGCTCACAGAGGATCTGAAGCATTTCATTGCAAAGATTCTACTGCATTGAATTGTTTGTGTGTTTTGAACATTGCATCATCTATTGAAGCCTGAAACTACATTTCTCAGTAACATGAGATATTATTTAATGTCCTCGCAAAAGCAGGTCATTCAGAAAGAATTCTGTGCATCAACATATGATGACTCACATCATTTATATAGGAAATTTTGAAAACAGAAGCCAGTCAATACAGAGGTTGTTTAATGTATGTTAAATACTGAGAGTCAAGGAATGGGTGGCAAATGTTCATTTATTGCTGCTTTGGCGAATTTCTGTGAAATAAAATGCTATTGCTCGGTTTAACAGACAAGGCTTAAGCTGGTCCCAGACCAAAATGCATGTTTGAGCTGTTTTAACTGAAAGCAACTTGCAATGACATATCTTAAAATGTCAGTGCCATTGTATTATCTCAAGATGCACACCAGTGATGTTTTTTCTAAGGCACGTTTATAAATGTCCTAATTGAACTAATGTCTAATCATGGCTTAATCTAAGCCCTGTCTGTGAAATCAGCACTACAAATGTTAAATATGGACCCCCGATTTATTTCAAACAGACAATGATTCACACATATGCACATGAACACACGTTAGTTCATCTAACGAGATGTCACACTTGTCTGGCTGATAGCAGTAACTTCCTCCGCACATCATGGAAAGGGAATATCGCCATCACACCTTTGTTTGGGGGTGTTTTTGATTCTGTCATTGTGTGAGACTGCAAATTTGCAAAAGACTGGGCGTGGTTGTGTGTTTTTCGGACAAATTCTGAGCGTGTGTCTGATTCCTTGTAGTTTGTGAAGTTCGCGAACATCGAGGAGGATACACCCTCTTACCATCGCAGATATGACTTTTTCGTCTCACAGTTCAGTGCCATGTGTCATTCCACATATGAGGACCCCGAAACTCGCAGCAGGTGTGTGCATTAGTGTCTGTCTATGGTTGTTTTATGTTGGGCTGTCAATAAATGAAAAGAATTTAAAGAAAAGAAAAGAAAAAACTATAATTTGACTTTTAGTGTAATTTAATAATAAATTATAATAAAATATAATATACATAATATGCTGAACTGTCGTCAAAGAATCCTTTAAAAAATGTAACACAAAATATTATGCAGCACAACTGTTTTCAACATTGAAAATAATAAGAATTGTTTCTTGAGCAGCAAATCAGCATATTAAGAAGAATGATTTCTAAAGATTGAAAATTTAGCTTTGCCAAAAATAAACATCTAGCAATCTTACCAACCACAAACTTTTGAACAGTGTGTATGTGTATGTGTATACACAGGGTTTGAAATGAACACCCGCCAACCCGGGTAAAAATCAACTGTGGTGGGTAACGCTGTCAAATCACTTGCCAATTTGGCATGTTACTTTATTACTCACTTTGCTGGGGAAGTTTGTGTAAGCCAAATCTGCGCAGATTTAGCGCAAATACTCAACTCGTGAGTCATCATGATATAAATACAGTGTATTGCGTAGAATCTGCACATATCTGGCTTACTTGAACATGCCCATCACTACGCAACAAATAATGGCGCGTTTGTTCATTTGCATTGAAGAAGTAGCGAAAATTGAAAAGTTCTTTGTACTGTATTGATCTGTCTACCTAAAACACATTTTTGGTGATGAGGATGAAAGAGGAAGGGAGGAGACGGCTGGATGACAGGATTTTGTTTGAATAAATGAATGTATGAAATCCAAATTTTACAATATATATATAAGCTGTGACGTAGTTAATCTGGTTAATTTCTTTTCTTTTTCTTTTTATGTTTTTGGCTAGTAGAAGTTCTGAATGGCCAGTTACTTAAAATGTTTGTAACCAAATTGGCCGGTTTGACTGGAAAAGTCCATTTTAAACCCTGTATATATATATATATATATATATATATATATATATATATATATACACTCACCGGCCACTTTATTAGGTACACCTGTCCAACTGCTCGTTAACACTTAATTTCTAAGCAGCCAATCACATGGCGGCAACTCAGTGCATTTAGGCATGTAGACATGGTCAAGACAATCTCCTGCAGTTCAAACCGAGCATCAGTATGGGGAAGAAAGGTGATTTGAGTGACTTTGAACGTGGCATGATTGTTGGTGCCAGAAGGGCTGGTCTGAGTATTTCAGAAACTGCTAATCTACTGGGATTTTCACGCACAACCATCTCTAGGGTTTACAGAGAATGGTCCGAAAAAGAAAAAACATCCAGTGAGCAGCAGTTCTGTGGGCGGAAATGCCTTGTTGATGCCAGAGGTCAGAGGAGAATGGCCAGACTGGTTCGAGCTGATAGAAGGGCAACAGTGACTCAAATAACCACCCGTTACAACCAAGGTGGGCAGAAGAGCATCTCTGAACGCACAGTACGTCGAACTTTGAGGCAGATGGGCTACAACAGCAGAAGACCCCACCGGGTACCACTCATCTCCACTACAAATAGGAAAAAGAGGCTACAATTTGCAAGAGCTCACCAAAATTGGACAGTTGAAGACTGGAAAAATGTTGCCTGGTCTGATGAGTCTCGATTTCTGTTGAGACATTCAGATGGTAGAGTCAGAATTTGGCGTAAACAGAATGAGAACATGGATCCATCATGCCTTGTTACCACTGAGCAGGCTGGTGGTGGTGGTGTAATGGTGTGGGGGATGTTTTCTTGGCACACTTTAGGCCCCTTAGTGCCAATTGGGCATCGTTTAAATGCCACGGCCTACCTGAGCATTGTTTCTGACCATGTCCATCCCTTTATGGCCACCATGTACCCATCCTCTGATGGCTACTTCCAGCAGGATAATGCACCATGGCACAAAGCTCGAATCATTTCAAATTGGTTTTCTTGAACATGACAATGAGTTCACTGTACTAAAATGGCCTCCACAGTCACCAGATCTCAACCCAATAGAGCATCTTTGGGATGTGGTGGAACGGGAGATTCGCATCATGGATGTGCAGCCGACAAATCTGCGGCAACTGTGTGATGCCATCATGTCAATATGGACCAAACTCCCTGAGGAATGCTTCCAGCACCTTGTTGAATCTATGCCACGAAGAATTGAGGCAGTTCTGAAGGCAAAAGGGGGTCCAACCCGTTACTAGCATGGGGTACCTAATAAAGTGGCCGGTGAGTGTATATATATATATGCACATACTATTTTTAATATTATTATAATATTTTATAAAAGAAAAACAATAGATATGTAACAATTTTCAACCACAAGCCCAAAATAGCCCATAGGTGACTTATGAACATAGTATTGAGAAAAGGTCTTGCATAATTTGTTTTCAGATGCAAATTGCTTTTTGATATTGTGTTAACTAATGCAGTCCGATTCCAAAGTTGATGTGATCTAATGAGTGCGTTATTTACTGTGTTTAACGTGTTCCTGTAGGATCCGTGTAGCAGGCATTAAGGGTCTTCAGGGTGTCGTCAGAAAAACTGTGAATGATGAACTCCAGGCAATTATCTGGGAACCTCAACACATGGATAAACTCATCCCCTCTATGCTGTTCAACATGCAAGATAATGACGACTCAGAGAGGTAGGTACACACACACACACAAGTTTGGTTTCCATGTTTTATGGCGACTTTCCATAGACATAATGATTTTATACTCCACAAACTGTATATTCTATCTCCTATCACTACTCCTAAACACAAACCTCACAGAAAACTTTCTGCATTTTTACATTTTCAAAAAACATAATTTAATGTGATTTAAAAGCCGTTTTCCTGAGGACCAAAAAATGTCCCCACAAGGTCAAAGATTTCTGGTATACCTGAACAACACACACACACACACACACACACTCGAGCAGGGGAAATCATTTAATTTTTAATAATCAATATTTTTCATACTCAAATTGCTTTTCAATTTTTCAATTCAACTTTTTTGTTCTGTACCACACACTGAATAACACCACCAAACACAGAGAGGCAGGGAGATAGAGAGATTTTCTTGATAAGAGATCTTTGGAGGTCCACATGTAGAGGGCAATCAAGGATATCTGATTCCTTTAAGTGTGTGTGTGTGTGTGTTTGTGTGTGAGAATAAAACGTGAGTTTGTCTCAGATAATGGCTCCTTTGTGCACAGAATATTTAAGTTTAATTGCCTGTTTGTGTTTATGCGAATGGAAACATCAATTGTCCCCCTCTACCCTATAATCAGGAGCTGAAATCCGATCTAGTGTATCGATCGGTGATTAAGGTTGCAAACACGAAACAGGGCTGTGTTTGATTGACGTGTGTAAGCTTGGCTGGAATGACACCTGACCTGCTGATGTCACAGAGGACTCTCTTCTCATCTGAAAGCTTATCTCTCAGAATAAATTAAAACCGCCTTAGAAATGTTTAATTCAATTCATTATTTACTGCAATTACTTTCTAGATTCATACAATTGTAAAGAGTATGTTCAGAAATGTCATAATCTGCTATACTATTCATTCTACTTTTGCAGTAGTATGCATAATTTCTGTGTGCATAGTATAACCAGACGTACTACATTAGTTTGTAGGGCTGCACAATTTGGCCTAAAATTTTGTGACATATGACTATAAAATAATAATAATTATAATAATACCTTTTGCTAATGTAATATTTCACTGCAAAATAAAGTAAAAGTATCTCAGGAAAATAATATGATAATTTTATTTTGCAGCACAACACAGTTTAAAACATTATTTCATACTATTATACAAACTATTGACAAAAATAGCAGGAAATATACAGTATAATATACTGTGAGGTAAACAGTATACTAGTATTTCTTTACAAAGCATAGCCACTGTTTGCTGTTGGAGCAGTGTTTTAATATACGGCACTCTGATTAGGTTGAATACAGTTTGTGACTATTATTGGCTCAGAAAACACATAGACACAGCTGATGTGTGTGTGCCTGCAGAGTTGTGTGGTTATTTCAGCTTTTCAAGGTCGTCAGATTCTGTTAATTGCTTTCCATGGGCTGTCGGTGAGCTGAAGGGACAAAGAATTGTGTGTGTGTGTGTGAGAGAGAGAGAGGTGGCTGGGATTTTTTCCTCACAGGTCTTTAATGCATCATTTAATACACTTGTGTATTTGACATCAGAATGCAGAGCGTAAAACCACGGGCTGTAAATGACCGAGTTTAGTACATGTGCTCTTATATGTATGCGTCTCTTTTTCAGGGCTGGAGAGGAAAATCCGGCTTCATTGGCAGAGAGTTGCTTTCGAGAGTTGCTGGGTCGAGCTGCTTACGGCAACATGAACAATGCTGTGCGCCCTGTACTGGTGTAAGTACTAAGTACTATTGCAATGGCTACACTGTGCTGTAGGTACCATTATCCAGTGCTATTGTTTGAATAGTCTCTCTGGCAGCAGTGGTTTACTCACTATTCACTCATTACAGTAAAATTAATAACTCAAGCCTTGACTTTAAGTTAAGGCTGTTGTTTTATTTCTGGGCTTGTTGCTATGGTAACATCACATTGTGATCGGGGTACCATGACTATAAAATTTGCCCTATTTTTTTTTAAATGCACACAACAAGGAGCTATTTTGACATTGCTAGTGCAGTTTACATTTACATTTATTCATTTAGCAGACGCTTTTATCCAAAGCGACTTACAAATGAGAACAATAGAAGCAGTCAAACTAACAATAGGACAACAATATGCAAGTGCTATCTAACGCAGTACATGTACTTTTTTTTTTTTTTTTTTTTTAAGATGATAGATATAGAATAAATGATAAAGTGTTAGTATTAATGGATCAGGTGCTGCCGAAAAAGATGCGTCTTCAGCCGTTTCTTGAAAATGGCTACGGACTCAGCAGCTCTGGTTGAGTTAGGCAGATCATTCCACCAGCATTAAAACAGACCAGAAAAAGGTCTGAGAAAGAGATTTTGTGCCTCTTTGAGATGGCACCACAAGACGGCGTTCAATTGCAGAGCGCAAGTTTCTGGATTGCACGTAAGTCTGAAGTAATGAGTTTAGGTAAAAGGGAGCAGAGCCAGTGTTTGTTCTGTAGGCAAAAGTCAGTGAATTGAATTTGATGCGAGCAGCAACTGGCAACCAGTGCAGTTTTGTGAGGAGAGGAGTGACGTGTGCTCTCTTCGGCTCATTAAAGATCACTCTTGCAGCAGCATTCTGGATCAGTTGCAGAGGTTTGATAGTGCAAGCTGGAAGACCTGCCAGGAGAGCATTACAATAGTCCAGTCTGGATAGAACAAGTGCTTGGACAAAAAATTGTGTAGCACGCTCCGATAGGAAGGGCCTGATCCTCCTAATGTTGTACAAGGCAAATCTGCAGGACCGGGCAATGTGGTCTGTAAAGTTCAATTAATCATTAATCACAACTCCAAGGTTCCTGGCTGACCTTGATGGAGTTATGGATGATGAGCCTAGCTGAATGGAGAAGTTGTGGTGTATTGTTGGGTTGGCCGGGACCACAAGCAGCTCTGTCCTCACAAGGTTTAATTGAAGGTGGTGGTCCTTCATCCAGCCAGAAATGTCTGTCAGGCAGGCTGAGATGCGAGCAGCTACAGTCGGATCATCAGGTTGGAATGAGAGGTAGAGTTGTGTGTCATCAGCGTAGCACTGATAGGAAAAGCCATGTTTCAGAATCACAGATCCTAGTGATGTCATATAGATGGAGAAGAGAAGTGGTCCAAGCACTGAACCCTGAGGCACCCCAGTAGCTAGATGTCTTAGACACCTCAACCCTCCATGACACCCTAAAGGATCTACCTGAGAGGTAAGACTTGAATCATTGGATTGCGGTTCCCGAGATGCCCTTCGTCTTTAGGATTGACAGAAGGATCTGGTGGTTAACTGTGTCAAAAGCAGCAGACAGATCCAGCAGGAAAGTTGAAAGATCATTTTTATAACTTTCTGGGTTTTTTTTGCTATGGGAATCCAATGTATCATGGGATTCACTTTAGTAGACTTTGATTTCGTTTAGATTTTAGTGCTGCACCAAAAATTTGACATGTGAACTGATTATTTCATTACTACTTACTGAACTTATTACTTACTGAAATGTGTCATGTCTCATGTAATTACCGGTACTCAGTCAGTGTTTCAACCATGGAAAAACAGCTTGTCACATAAAATGATATTTACCTCATGAAAGCCAAGTTCATATCTAGTTAGTTAGCTAATAACAAACTTTTAATATATGTATATAAGCACAATATTACATATTCAGTATAGTTTTACTTACTGTTGTCATGATTTAATGTATGTTTGAATACATCTGTCATGAAAACATTGAAACCTGAATAAGTTTTTATTACAGCTATCATTTAAATGTCTATATTTCCATGACAAATTGGAGTAGAAACATAATTACGTCATTAAAAAGATGATATAAAAACTGCCTTATTATGCTTCACATTAATTCCCAAAATATTGGTATTGTACCATTTTAAATTACACACACACAAGCTCACAGGCTAAAATATGTGTGGCCGTTTCAGCTTTTCAAGCATGTCAGTTTCCATTAATCATTTTTCAGGGTTGACCGTGAAAATTGAAAGCGTACAATACAATGATGATAACATTTTCAAAATGATCAGGGGCCGTATTCACAAAGAATTTTATCTTACCACTAGGAGTACTCCTAAATCGCACTAAAATATTTTAGCTAGGAGTTTTCTCTTAAAAGTTATTCACAGCGCCTTTCAGACCTACTCTTAGTAAGGAAAATTGACAACTCCTAAACTAAGAGTGAGTCTTCGTTGCTATGGATGACGTCACTTCTCATGCACGAGCTTCCTCGCAGTGATCACGGTGATTGGTTGTTACCCCGGATTTCCACCAACTGCAGAACGGCTGCGGATTGGCTCCGCTGCGTGTCGGATCCGTGCTCCGCCGTCCTTCAATACCTACCAGATACGGATTTGTTGCGGAACGGCTGCGGCCATGACTGACAGCTGAAGTCACGAGGACACACGATATCTCGCGAATTTACGTTTGATCGCGCGATATAACAGGATTTAGTTTCTATAAACAGAACCACAAAACCAGCAACAGTTTGTTTCCATCCAGAGGAGTACAGGGGAAACAACTATGTGCTGACCTGCTGATCGCCTTTTTTGTGGAGATTATTGTGATTCTAATACTATATTTATAATTAAATATAATCAACTTATAAAATGCTAAATGTTTATTTGGGTTCCTTTTTGAATGTATTGGGAAAGTAGTAGGCTGTGTAAATAAAGTTAACTATTGTTCTTGTTGGAAAAGTGAAAACTATATTTTTATTTTGGAAATTACCGGATGTTTTATTTAGTTTCTGCTCGACTTCCTGCGGCGCTCTCCGGCATCCGGCAAAAATAGAAACTCTGCGTATCTTCTCCGGAGGGCTGCGGGACGCCGGAGCTGGGACGGAGTCGGAACGCAGCCGTTCCGCAGTCAGTGAAAATGCACACATTGACTTTAATGGAAACCTGTTGACTCCGCCGCCGTTCCTGAGCGGATACGCAGCCGTTCTGCAGTTGGTGGAAATCCGGGGTGAGATGACAGGGCCATCATGCGGATCATAACACAGACGCAACAAATCATGGAATTACGACATCTAAATATGTCTGTGTCCTACACAAAATAATAATAGTAATGTCATCGAAATGCATATATAATGACATGTTTGTGCAGGCCCCAGTGAAGTGTAATTCTAAAAAGGTAGAGAGAGAAAAGTCGTGAATTAACCCATTTACTCCTAAAACGCCTGCTAAAAACGCCTATAAAAACCTATGTTATTCTAGGATAAATATCCTAATCTCCTGAGGGTTTTCTGAAAAAATACTTCGAATTGTCAACGTCTACCAAAACCTTAATATCTCAGCCTCTGTAGTACTTAGAAACATGAAATAAAATACATTTTAAAGGTAAGAATCACAGGTTTTATTAAGACATGCTCCCTTAGCACTAACATAACAACACATTTTTCTAAAAATTCTCAAAATCATATGGGGAAGAAAAAAAATATAAATCAATTATATAAAATAAATGCTCCATGGCTCACATCTCTGGCTCATGCATCGATGTTATCTTGGAGATATCTGAAAATGCATATGATAAAAATAATTTCTAACATAACATTTATTGCCATCATTGTATTTATTTATTCATATGTATTATGTTATTTATGTATATTTATAGTATTTATATTTATTCATTATGCCATAATTATATTACTATTTATTATGCTATTTATTCATTATGCCAGTATTGTATTTATATTAACATTATTGTATTTAGTATTATCATTATCAACCATCATCACATAATTATATTACAATTTATTATGCTAGTTATTCATTATAACAACAAAACACAAATAATTACCTCCAGATCATGTCGAAGCGGTCCCTTGCCATGGCCTCCAGAAATCCCTGCGTGCTGGCAGCTTCAAAATACCGAAGGCAAGACACAGCCCGACAAATGTCTTCATCTCCGTTTTGGAGACAGGGTTCCACTTCGAGTTGGTGACCGCGCGTCTGTTCGGCGCGCGCGGTGTGTGTGGGGCTGTTTACACCTGGCCACTTCACGCGTTTTCTGTGATCGGATAGCTATCCGATCGTGAAAAGACCAGGTGTAAATGCCCTCCGAGATGGATTTGAATCCAATCGCTCAAACCACTTCAGGAGGAGGTCTGGGCCGCATTCCAGACGAAACTGGACAAGTGTAAATGCATCTGGTTGTTGAAACCACATAAGTAAAATTTACTCCTCCCAAAAATGCTAAAAGATAAACGTGTGAGAGCGTGTTATAGGCTATATGTCATGTTATAGTCAGATATGACGACGCTACTGCGACACGACGCATCACCTCAGATGAGCAGCTGAGCATCTATTCATCAAGCCAACGCGCTGCAAACTATCGCAAATCAAAGTGAAAGTAAGTCCCAGACGCTTAATTTGTCGGGCTGTGTCTTGCCTTCGGTATTCTTGCCTTTGCACACGCCTCTGTCGTTGCCATTTTCTCGCTCGCGTCTCCAAAAAAAATCCCAAACAAATGCACGTGTATAGCTGATTGATTGACGTGATTTTTAGCGAACTACAGTACATTTGGGTGGTCACGTGGTCTTTAAAAAATCAACAAGACCCACCTCATGTGTATTTGAACCAATGACAGTGCGTTCTATGCTGCAAGCGTCATGAAAAGGATGACGAATACAAAATGCTGCGCCACGCAGCAGCCGGCAGGAGGTTCAGAGTTGCGCAACGCAGTAACCGGCGGTAGATATAAGGTTTCGGCACGCAGCATCCGGCACTTAAAATAAATTAAAT